AGGTCATCATAACAAACCATTAGGGCCTTCTGCTGCTGCTGCTGCTGTTGCTGCAGAGCTGCCACCAGGGGCAGGCACCTCTGCAACAAACACACCAAAACATAAAGTCAGTCACATCAGATGAGCTTTAAATGTGCATGCATTGTTCAAAGTTTGCATCAAATCTGCAGCCATTTAACGAAAGAAAATTACAACAGATAATATAAAACACCTTAAAAGTACTTTCCACTTGTTTTGCATTTAATTCCTGGTTTTAATTTAGAAATTTAAGTGGCAAAAACCTGCAGAAATGTGCAATAACATCGCATAGGAACAGAAATGTGTTCAGATGATGCATTCAGGTCACCGGGCTGTATATTGCCAGCAGTTTGATGCAGAGCAGAGCGTCTCACCCTGCAGCTTTAATGGCTCACATCTCGGCCAAATCAGTCCGCAGCCGTGGAAAAATACGATTCATCAGCGGCAGAGAAACTTAAACAGCAGCAGCAGGTCTGCAGGTTTCATCTGTTTGAAACCACCACAGAGGTCATGTAACAATCTGGAGATGATATTCAGAGTAACACTATTAATGTGCATCTATCTATCTATCTATCTATCTCACAGGCCTATTTTCTGCTCTGGGCCCTTTATGTCTCGGGGGGGGGACACAAATTTGTCCACAATACTGCTACTGGATTTTCCACGCTGTCCCAGGAGCGTCTTTTATTTTTTAAAAAAAATATCTCATCCCCATCTATTTTGTGTCACAGGCTGTAGATCATGATCCATCTGTGGAGCTGCACCAGAAATTCCCCTAAAACGGAATTTGCTTCACATCTGTGCTGCTTTATTCAGCAAGATTGACATTTAAAATAAAATCGTACTGTTTCTAAAAGAAAGAGATGGTAGTCTATATAATATTGTGCTGTTACACTCATATTTTAGACTCGCACTGCTCCTGTAGGATTATACAGATAATAAATCCTCCAAAACATGGCCTCTGCATATTTCTTTGCGTCGTTTAAGATATGTAAGTGTGCAGACATTCAGCTTCCAGAGGGTTGTGCATCACTAACAATGAAACGCATTTACAGCCATTTAAATATCTCTCTCCATATAGCCTGTATTTATAATGGAGTCATTCTGCTTTATGGCCTTAATGTTACTGTAGACAACATAATGTAATGTCTCTGTGCCTCAGTACATTGACAAGGTAGCAGCCCATAACCAGGAGCAGCCACACACACAGTGAAGAGCTGCGCGTCAGTCTGTGGCAAAATGCTGCCATCTACTGGTCATGTAGAGGTTTACTGCGTGTGAGAGTGTGTGTCTTTTATAATCTGACAAATTTAATTAGTTTGGTACAACTGACATGATTTGATTAGACTTGAAAAACTTAATTAAGTTGAACCAACTAAATATCAATCCAAAAGTTGTTGCAATAGTTAGTGGTCAAATTGTTTTATTTAGGGTATTTTAACTTATTTATTTTAATTTCATCCCACCAAAAAAATGTTAAAAATCATTCTGATTTTGACCAGCTTCTTAAAACAGGTTGTCAACTGACTAAAACTTGTTCATGAAACAAAGGTAATTTTATTTTTGCTGAAAAACGTACTTATCTTAAGCATTATCAAATGACCCCATGAATCATTTTTAGTGTGTGTTTGTGTCGACTTTGTACTGAAAACATAAAGCAGTGTAACCTAGCAACAAAAACAATAGAATAAAATACAATACTTCAACCAATTCAACCATGTAACCTATTAAATATATGAGCTGTAAACCCCAGTTCGCTCACTCAACTTAATTGTATTTTTTTTAACAAGTGTGCTTATTGGATTTTTAATATACTTCACATATTATATAAAGAAGAACAACCACAAAAAAGTAGGGTTTGAAACAGAACACTCACAGTATGGCGTCATCTTAATAACAACTGCCACGACAGGGCAATATGATGAGTACTTTAGGCTCAAAATATATAATCAGAAATGCTACCTATACTAGTACTGACAGTTTAAAGGAAAGACAATGCACATAACTATGTTTCACTCAAGAGATTAAGACAAGTAGATTTCTGTAGCCTTCTCCCCCTCTAGAAACGTCATGAAACGTCCCCATATTTCATCAAAAGTAGAATATTTACCCTTAATTATAAAGATAAGTTTTTCCAAGGGCAACAGAGTGTGACAGTCCGGTTAGCCAGGCTTGTAAACAGTCTCATAGTGGATTACCAGAATCTGGCTATGGTGTGTTTTGCTTGTAGGAAGCAGTAGAGTGTCCCATAAGCAAGAAATAGTATGCCCTTTAATTCACATTGATTACATATGTTGGGGTAATCGGATTGAATTTATTTAACATGGTTGGAGATACATATATTCTCATTATCCACTTATATTGGAGTAATTTAAAAGTGTTTATTAATTGTGTTTGAGCTTTCAAGCAGATAGTCTGCCAGTCCTCCATCGAGATTTCGCTGTGTAAGTCCCAACTTAAAATTATGCTGGAAACAGCTTGCACTCAAAACTCTTATTTTAGCACAATACAGTAACATAAAAGTTTTGAGTGTGTCACATGACCCTAGTCTGACAGGAGTTTAGTATAACTCTTTGTTATTGTTTGTTGTAGACTTTACATTAACAATTTTGTGTCATGGATGGACTGGAGTTCACATTGTACGAAGGCATTTTTTGGAAAAAATGATTTAAACCTTGTATAGATGTGTCTGTCATGAGGACACTCCTCACACCTGCCTCTCAAAAGGCAAAAAACCCCTGATAATTTGTAATTTTCTTTTAAAGTCTACAGTGCCTTGATAAAGTATTCAACCCCCTTGGCAGTTTTTCTTATTTTGTTGCATTACAATCACTAATTCTTTAACTAATTATGAGACTTCTGAAGGTAAATGTTAACAACAGGTCTCATTTAAGGTCGGGCTGAATACATATGCACACGCCTTTCAGTATTATTATTTTTTTGTTGACATTTTTAAAACAACTTTTTTTCATTTCTCTTCACCAGTTTTGATTATTTTGTGTCAGTCCATCACAAAATAAACTCCATTTAAATTCCAGGTTATAATGCAATAAAACAGGATGAACACCAATGTGTGAAACACTTTGCAGGGCACCATAGGATCACTTGTAACTGATTATAATTGATATGTCATGACATCAACCTCTCAATCAGCGTGTTCATGCGCATTCAGTCAATTAACACATTTTCCCTCTCCCTGCAGCTGAGCGGGGTCGTGTGCACAGATCTCAGGGGATCCCTGTGTTTAACCCTTGACCTCCATTAAAGCACAGGGCCGGCCTTTAGGGAGGAAGTTGGTTTGACTCAGGAAGTGAAGGCAGGTGTCAGCTGCTGGTGTTGGGACTGGTGACACTGGACCCTAACTGGCTGCTCACTGAGCTGAGTGTGTGTTTTCTGCTGCTGAACATCTGATTGTTAGAACAACTTTGGATTTTCAGCTCACCAGAGCCAGTGAAGCAGCGAGGACACATGTGATTAGATCCAGAAAAGATGAGTTCTTTTGAATGAAGAGGTTGCGAACGACACATCAGTGTATTGCTCAGGACCCATTGAAGAAATCTGTTATTTTAAGTTAAAGGTTACGTAAATCTAACAGACAGTAGCGCAGTGCTTTGCCACATGTGCCACACCCTTAGGCGACCCTATGGGGCGAACAAAACTCCAACAATAACCCAAAATAACCACATAAACACCTATAAAACACTGAAATCCATGGGAGTTAATAAGAAGTAAAACAAGCAAACAAGACAACAAAACTCTCAGGCTAAGAGGCAGCAGGACCAGGAGTCCCCACACCAGAGGCCTCTCTGCTCCGCTGCTGCCACAGGAGCTCTTAAGCACCTCCTCCATGCCAGGTGCACCTCGTTAGGTAATGCAGCACACTTGGGCAGATTTGCAATGGAGGGAAAAGGGACAGTAGCAGGGAGCACACACAGCTGTTAAAGGTTAAGTATATTTAACAGATAGTAGCGCAGTGCCCATCGAAAATGATTGACTTTTTTGGAAATATCTCACCACCTTGTGTTGTTTATACTGTCTGGTAAAACCTACAATATGAACAACCAGGTGACTGAGCCTGAGACTGTCTCAGATCCTTTCGCTGCAAGAGAACGCTCAGTGTTCAGTGATTCCTTCACTCAGTGTACAACACAGTAAATGTGAGCCCTGAATTATAGACAGCCTTCTCCCTCCCTCTCATGCTGTGAAGTCTCAAAGTAGGAAGTAGTACCAAATATGTTTTAATTATTTTCATGTAAAGCACTTTGTAACTCTGTTTTGAAAAGCACTTTATAAATAAAGATTATTATTATTGTTCTGTTCCAGAATCATGGCGTTGAATAACAGCCACACAAGTGTATTTACAGAACGTTGTGAAGTCACAGTGAAGTTGACCTTTGATCTTTTGAATATATGTTGTGTCATCCCTTCATAACTTTATCCCATTGGACATTTCTGGAAAATTTCGTCATAATTAGCACGTGAATTCTTGATATATGGCCGAAAATGTGTTTTGTGAGGTCACATTGATTTTTGACCATCAAAATCTAACCAGCTCTTCCTTGAGTACAAGTGGACGTTTGTGCCAAATTTGAGGATCTTTAAAGCCTTCTGCAGAAATTCCATTCACAAGAATGAGACAGATGTAAGGTCCCAGTGACACTGACCTTTGACTACCAACCTCTAATCAGTTCAGTCTTGAGGCTGAGTGGACGTTTGTGCCAAATCTGAAGAAATCCCCTGAAGGTGTTCTTGAGATACCATGCTCAGGAGAATGGGATGTGCGTACAAATGTACAGTTGGACAACCTGAGAAAAGGCTGTGGAGGCACCAAAAGCAGCACATCTTAACATTTGAGAAACTGGAAATAGCTAGTCGATTGTTAAAACTGTTGTACATTAATTTTCTGTCGATCAACTAATCCATTAATGCACGAAAACAATATTGTACGGATGTAATGATGCAGCACAGACATGTTTGAAGACTTTGTGGGTTGTTTCAGAAGTGTATTTAAAAAAAAAATCTCTAATGTAATGTAACTGATTACATCACACTGAGTAAAAATGCCATTAAAGTTACATCATTTAACAAGTGTTATTCCACGACAGTTCCCTTTTCTTAGTGTACCTTACAGCCAACACCTTTGAATAGAGGTGAAACAGGATTTACGATAAGTGCAAATCAAAATTGTGCAGGAGCTCTGCACAAATAAATCAACACAAATTTAAGTCTTAAAGAGCAAACATACAAACGCCTTCTTTAAAACTGCTTTCCTGCACACGTTACAGTCTGTGTTCGCTAAACTGAGATTAAGAAAACGACCCTGCAGTCTGATTACAAAGGAAGTGTTGAACTTCTGTAACATCCGTTTGTGTTGGCATCCAGCGGAAACACTTTGGCACCGTCATACAGCACAGTCAGCAACATTTACAAAAATTAAAACCCATTCTTAAAACATCATCATAAAAAATGTGACACTGATCCAGCAAAAGGAAATACTAAAATAAATCTGAATAAAACTTTAAAAGGACATTTTCATCGTGTGTGAGAGTAATTTTCATGAACCTGTGCTTTAGTGATTTAGCACTAAAAAAAAAATGACAGTTCAAGTTTTTTTTGTTTAAAAATAAAAAATATGTAAGAGGAGGAGATGTTGACACTGTCTTTACATTATTTTTGTTTTGTTTCAGGACACACGTCCATTTCTAACTTTAAAAAGCCATATTTTAATATAAAAGCTGCTTCAAGATGAGCTCTCTACTGTCTGTGGGAGCTAATTTGTTTTCTTGCACAGAGTTAAATTAGAAGATTGATTTTTCCCAATTTTTTTCCCAAAATGCCAAACTTCTCCTTCCAAAGAGCTTACACACTCCCACATATTACAACATCGTGAGGTCAGTTAAAATCTGAGTGAATGAGAAACATTTAAAAAGAGACTATCGCTGACAGCATACATGAAAGTCCAGTACACTGAGACATTCAAGTTCTAGTTGTCGTCGCCGGCCTGCACCCTGCCATTATTCAGCAGTCTCTCTCTCTCTCCCGCACTGTCCTCCTCCTCTGTCATCACCATCCCAGCGCAGCACGGTATCCTGGACAGCAGGGGGCGGTGCAGTCCATTGTAGAGCCCTGTGCCCACCAGCAGGACCAGGAAGCCCAGCACCTGCAGGCCTTGAAATTTCTCCCACCCCAGGGCCAGGCTCACCACCCAGATGACGAGCGTACGCAGGCTGTCCAGCACCATGCGGGTGGTGGCGCTCATCTCTTTGGTGACGCTGATCCCGGCGAAGTTGAAGAAGGCGATGCTGACTGTGTTGCCCAGCAGAGCCAGCAGGATGAGAGGCTGGTGCCCGATCTGACAGAAGGCATCCAGGGCGTCCTCGAGGACGTTCCGAGGGTTCTGGCCGAAGTCGCCGACATAGATGAAATACATCGGGATGAGAAGCAGTGACAGGACGACGAACCCGAAGAAACCTGGACATAGAGAGCAGAATTTACTATGACTTGTAAGAGTGGTTCACGAACTTTGGTAACACTTAATATAGATAATCCACCTACAGATAGTTCATAGAATATTTGTCACATTTAAACAGCTTATTACTTATTTGCTTTATTCTGCAGATATTTAACAGATTATCTATGGAGTATATGTCACAATTCATAATTGAACTTGGAACTATTCACTTTTTCATTTTAATACCCAATTGTAACAGATAGTTACAACCACGAAATGGGATTGGACAACACGAGGGACTTTTATCTGTGCATGTATCAATCACTTACAGGTGTTCTACACTGTTGATTATGTTAACCGTAATTAGTCTACATTAAGGCTCATCATAACAAACGTATCACCACAAAGAGGAACACATTTCGACAAATAACACTTAAAATAAATCATGAATGATCGTTAGAGGACGATGAAGAGAAGTAAAGAAGCCTGGATACTCTGCAGACCTCCAGCTATGCTCATATGTATCTGATGTCGTAACAGTGCTGTCTGGTCAAGCTGTTAACTCATCTGAATCCACCCATGCCACCAGAGTGACAGTCAACAGACTCTTATTTCACTGGTTGCACAAGAAATGGAAACACACACACAGATAAATGTCAGACGATGCAACAAGCTAGTGCACATGAATGGTCCGTGTACTCCGTGTTCAAATAAATATGGGCGGTCATCAAATTCATAATGGCTTGTCCAGATCCAGTTGGTCAAAATCGGGTAAAATTTCGGACATGTTTGTTGTGGCAAGTCAAAACACTCACTCAGAGAGTGACCTTACAGTTGGTCAAAATCGGGTAAAAATTCAGCCATGACTACTCTAAACAGAGTAACACCTCACGTTTGTTAAGTCACTCCATCGGTAACTTCCTGCAACAACTCAAATCTCGCAAGACGTGAGATTTCAGAGCCAGACTTTCACTCTCTGAGTGAGTGTTTTGACTTGCCACAACAAACGTGTCTGAATTTTTACCCGATTTTGACCAACTGGATCTGGATGAGCCATTTGAATTTGATGACCGCCTGTATTTATTTGAACACGGAGTACACGGACGTACACGGAGGCAGAGCTCATTGAAACTGAAGAGTGGACGAGGAGAGAGAGGAAGCAGACACAGGCAAAGGAACATGTCCGAATCCAGCTGAAGGTAAACACAGACGTTCATTTCTCCTTTCCGTTATGTTGTCAGATAATTATACTAACAATCCGAGCCTATCTGTGTTAAAAAAATGCACTTTTAGTGGACGTATTTTGACGATGTTTGACGCTGTCCCAGTGCCCTATTATTTAATATAGCACACGCTCACGGGCTGCAGGCAGGTCAGCCTGAGCTTCGTACTGGAGAAATGTCATATTGAACATACTATCACTCATTTAGACAGAAGTAGATCAGAAAATAGGGCCCAGGTTGAAAAAAAACATCAGTTCCCCTTTAAGAGTGACATAAAACAGCAACACTGGAAAATATCGAAGGGATCATGTCTTCGATTCTCGCCATGTGGCTTTTGTAACAGGAAGGGGACAAACTTTGTGTTACAAAAGACGAGGTGCAGCAAGAAGAAAAGTTTGGGAAATCCTAAATCAGAGTGCAAACAAGTCAAGTCTGGTTGCTATAACATGTTAATTCATTGTCTGAACAGTTACAGACTTCATGATGTCACAGATTTAAGTTTGAGCACTCTAGTTTTTGGAATTTCAGAGGGAGCTGTTCATGTTTCCTAATATTTTTGGACTGTCTTGGACCATAGGAATAACATGTTCATTCAAAAATGGGGGTAGTTCCAGTTAAATGTTCAGAACGTTGGTTTGTTCTACTTGTGTACTTCTCTGTCTCTGTCCCAGATCCACCTCGAGAGGTTCCAGATTAATACCACAGTTTAAGGTCAAAACAAGTCACATGTAACTGCAGGTGAAGCACAGCCGTACCTTCAGTACCAACAGCCCGAAGAGGATGGACGTCATGTCTGTAGACAAACTTTTCCTCCAGGACCATCTGCACTGAAACTATAACCTGAGCCATGATGATGAGGAGGTCGCCTGCAGGACAGAGGAGAGTAGTGTTTAATTCACTGCTTTTTTATTTCACCACATAACAGCTTCACTTTGTTTGCAACACTACTCCAATCCAACATCCGCCTCACCTGTGATGACATCACTGAGCTTGTGCTGTTCGTCTTTGGTCCCGTTGAAGAAGTCGGCGAGGCCCACTATCACCAGACCCAGGATGGTGGTGAGGATGCCGAGCCACTGACTCAGCACCAGGCGTCGCCCCAGGAACGCCACTGAAAGCAGACCGGTGAAGATGATGACGGCTCCACGCAGCATCTGGAAGCTGGAGGCGCTGGTCATGTTGAGAGCTGCAAAACATGAGGTCATCTTTTAAAATCTATCAACTAGAAAGACAAACAAACAACTCACACGGCTCAATAAAGGTTAAAGGCAGTGGCAACATAACACAAACAAGTGACGCTGAGGAAAAAAACATTATCTTTGTCTCTTTTATCTCTCTTCCTGACGAAAGGTTCCTTTAAACACAACATAATCTATCCTGTCTGTCCGATGGGACTTACGTCATTACAGAGGAGTTTGGGAATAAAAATCAACATATGCGCACTTTAAACAAAAACAGTTTTCTGAACATGTAGCAGATAAAGGCGGCTAAAGGTCACGTACCGACATACATGATGGAGGTGGCCAGCATGTCACACATGGCCGGGGGGAAGAAGAGGAGAGGGTTGAAGCTCTGGCCCGGGTTCATCTGGGGTTCGGGTCTACGTTTGTCATGGCAGAGTAGGATGTAGAAGACCGCGATACAGCTGAGCTCGCCCAGGAACATCCCCACTGCCTGGATGGGGAGAGTAGGGGGGAAGACACAGACACAGAGTAGGAACACAAATTATTGTTCAGTTTTTTAAACAGCAGCAGAGGAAACAGTTACAGTTACATCAGCAGAACCTAAAGAAAGTTTGCTCTTAATTAAAGGTTCACTATGCTGTAAAACAATGTATAGACTCATACAACAGTAAGTCCTTTTTATTGTCTCTTATGAACCACTACAAGTGTGTGGCAGTGTATTTATCTGCAGAGACTTTTGCTGTGGTCAGGATGTTCCTTGGAACAGAAAGTGTGTGAAGTCAGGATGTTATAAAAGGGTAGCGACCATGTGTCAGACTGTAAGCAGATTGCATCCAAGAGGAAGCTACAAAAATCATGGATACACCACCACAAAAGAAAAAGAAGCAAATATAACGAAGCAAAACATCAAGCGGAAAAAGCTTGTTCGAAAAAGAGCGCAACATTCAGACTTGGCCCCTCCTCGGCTCAACGAGACTGAAAGGGCAGCGGTGGTCAAGTGAGCTACATGTAGAGTGAATGAAGAGAGGAAGCTGCGTTAACGAGAACAAAGCAGTGAATCAGAGAAAAGCCCAGCAAGACGATTCTGCATCTCTGGATTTGTGTCAGTTCACCTGAAGCACACGCTTCATCCTGTCTGCTTGACTTTTCTGCTCTGTGTGCATTAGTGGATCAACGTTGCCCTCGATCAAACAGATACACAATCACCTTCAGATTGCATCCACAGAGCAGAGGAAGGAGACGGAGGGAGCGGTTGTTGCTACATTTTTATAAAGTCCTGATAGCTGGTGGCTACACACCACTACCCAAAGGTTGACATCAGGAAAATAAGAAGATACAGGCAGAGGGCAGGTGCTCTGCAGATACAGACACCATCACACACTGCTAATGGGTCATGAGTGATGACTGTGAGAGATTACTTCCGTGTGAGCCTATATATTGTATTAGGAAACTCCTGCGTTGTATGCCTTTAAAAGTGCAAGGCCGGATATAATTTAAACATTTTCAAAACTTGAAACCTTTCAACCCCGCCTTTCTAGTGTTCCATCCACATGAAGCGCTTAAATACCACACGTCACATTCACCGATCTGGGGTTCAGTGTCTTTCCCAAAAAGTACTTCCACATGTTGACTGGAGGAGCCGGGGACTGAACCTCCAATCTTGGGATTAGTGGATGACCCGCTGAACCTCTTGAGCCACAGCCAAATAACACAAGCTTTATTAAGGCTTTATGTAAATAAAACTGAAATAATTTGCCAGTTTCCAGTACTTCAGTATTTGATAAATGGGCTACAGACACATTTTGGTCAGTACCACGAGACAGTTGAGGATCGATATTAGGGTTGCAACTGTATGAGTTTGTCACAGTGTGACAACTGTCTCAGAAAACACATATTATTATTAATCAGAATGACCTTTAAAGGAATAAAAATGGAAGGGTTATTTCTGGTTTAACAAATGTTGTATTACTATAACTCAAACTTGAAACCATTTCCTCCATTACTGTAGACTAGTCCATACCCATTGGTAGCTTTGCCACCTTCTACCTATAGAGTAGAAAAACGTGGGACAGACAGAATGACTGACTGACTGACACTCTGACAGTTTCCATGATTATGTACAGCATACCATACCAAAAATTTGGAAAAGCCACAGCGATCAGTCGCATTTTAGTCATTTTTAAGCATTTTTCTGTTGTTATAGCGCCACCCAGTTGCCAATTAGAGTTAAATTTCTCCAGTCACCTTGAGGCGTCCTGTTCTACATATCTACCAAGTTTAGTAAAAATCGATATGGCAGTTAGGCCTAGATAAGAAATTAGCTCTCTAGCTCCCCCATTTTGTTTGATTGGGTCAATAATGGAGGGGTCCCCTCAGATTATGTGTGGTCATATGTCTACAAAGTTGCGTGGTGATCGGTGAAACCCTTGAGATGTTATACACCTTTATGTGATGAGCCACGCCCTCCGCAATATTCATTGCCTTTTAGAAGCTCAGTTTTAGTAAGTTTTCCAACTTTTGCCAAGAGGGAACTTTAGATATTGGTCCCTAGATTATGTTCACCGAGTTTCATGTAGATCGGTCAAACTTCCTAGGAAGAGATCGATTTGAAGTGTTTTTCATAAAATTCAAAATGTGGCCTCTCTGTGCAAAGTTTCATGTCTCTACGACATACGGCATCCTCCCATGACCCTCTACCACTGTGCCAAATTATACATGGATTGACCATGTCAGTGAGGAGAAAAACGTGGAACAGACACACACACACACACACACGCACACACACAGTTTTATCATTCTAAAGTAAGATAAGCAAATGTACACCACATGATAACCGTCAACTTTTATATCACGGTATACCTTGAAACCAGTCTATTGCTGCAACCCTAATCAATACCACAGCCGTCTTTATCCAGCGTCGTAAAGTGTGAAAGCTGTCACCTGAAGTGTGTTACCGTACCTGTACAAATGGATGATTAAAGCGATGATCACCGTCATCATGGCAACCCTTCGCTTGGAACGTGTCAGCCCATCTGTCAGACAGGAAGTTGTTACAATTGTATTATGGATATTTTACACAACCAAACATACAGAGAAGACACCAAAATGAGACAGGGGTTCGCCACACAGCTAGACCTGAAATGATTCGTTGATTAATCAGCAATTATTTTGATAACTGATGCATTGTTTTAGCTATTTTTAAAAGCTAGTTAAACTTTTGCTGGTCACAGCTTCTCAAATGTGACGATTCCTTGCTTTTCTCTGTCGTATAGATCATAGTAAACTGAATATGTTGTGGTGATTGAGACTGAGGGAAATTGTAAAGTGCATTTTGCACTATCTGAAAAGAAGAGTTTGTACTGCAAGTACATTTTTTACACCACACCATAAAAATACTGTACAGTCAGACAAAAGGATTTGATGAAGGTGCATGTCACTTGTGAGGTCAGTGAGTACTCAAGTCCGACTTTTATAGTCAGACAAGGCATGACAAGCATGTGAGCGTCTGCTTCAAAATGCAAGACAAGGGAATGTGGTCCTTGAAGGTGATGACACAGCACTTCCTTCCAACGTAACGACTTCTGAGCTCATCAATACAACAGGGAAACCAGAGCTGAACCCAAATCTGTTGCAGCTATTCTTACTCATTATTGGCCACTGTGTTTAAATATCTTTATACGTTGGATGTTTGTAAGACAGGAAACGCCAAAACTATCAGCCTACGTGCTATAACTGATCTCAGCTGCAGGGCTTTAAAACCAGCAAGGCAGCGCTATGACGAGACCGGTGTCAGGTGACTGTAGTGAAACTCTACCTGCTAGTTGCTGATGTTCTTCTCTGAGCATGACACAACTCGCTTTGTCTGACACATTAGCACTCAAGCCGTGATTCATGTAACAGTTTTGGTTTTAGCTGACAAAGCCCACAGAGCAGTGTGTGTCTGAAAGGCAGGAGCTGACATCACAGATTATAGGGGAAGTTTAAAAAAAAAAAAAAAAAAGCTGAATTTCTTGTTCCACTAAAATTGCAAACCTATTCCTACTGTGATAATAATGAGAGAGGACTTGAATTTATTAGTGTGATAAATCATTTATCAAGAGGATCTATCATGAATAAAACATATAATCTTTGGGTATTGGGAAGCTGGTTGATCAAGTAATTTAAAGACATTAAAGGAGTAGTTTTCACTTTTTTTGATGTTTTAAAACACCAAAGGATAAATCAATTTATTAAAAACATACTCTGAGCATAGCTGCAGGGCTGGGCCAACCCATTAAACAATAAAAGCAGTTGCTTAGGGCCCCCGAGTCAGACAAAGATTTTTTTAATGAACAATAAAAATTAACAAAATAAAAATGTACCTTCCTAAAACAAAAGCAGACAACATTTTGAGCCATTTTATGCCCACGGATACTAACAAAACAATGAACTGAGATACAGACAAGATGGACAGTTTACGTAAGCTGAGTAAACAGTATGATGTTCCCTATGAAACAAACACTTCCTGGATTCTGAGGTTAAAAAACAATAACTGAAAGGTTAAGAGCAGGGGTCTGTAACCTGCTTTAGCCCCTCTCCAGTGGCTCCCTGTGGCTTTGACAGAAAAATATATGGGAATGACAATCATTTTTTTTTTCAAACATTTTAATTTTCATTTATTGTTGCAGGCCTTAAGTGATTCTTACATTCTTCAACTTCTTCTTAGCTAGGCGAGTTGTGGATTGTGAATCCAAAAAGGGAAAAGTCTCAGTGGAAAATCTGAGAATTTAATGTGAAAATTGTGAAGTTTAAGGTACCAAATAATCATAAATAGCCCACTGCAGAACAGCCACCTTGTGCTAAAACATATTAATGAATGCTCATTTAGCTCTATTAGTAACATTCAGTACGTTTACACGCACGCAGTAGTTGAGCTAAGCTAAGCTAAGCTAAGCTAGCTCGGCTAATCAGTCAAGTCGGACTTCTTGTCTTGTCTGCGTATACATGCAGACAAGAAAATCGAATTTCTGACTAAGTACGTCTGACTCTGCCTCGATAGGCAGCGCTGAGTCCTTTTTAATGAAGTGCGTATGGAACTAGTTCCGGTTGACCTGAAGACGAAGCTAACGATGAATGAAGATGTCGGAGCATGGATGTAGTTTCCTCTTCCGTCCAGAAGTGCGTCTTCTGCTTCTTGTTTTTCCGGGAGTTACGGCACTGCTGCTACGTCATCTCCTTCTTCTTCCGGGTGAAAGCCCGCGAAAGAAAAAGTGGTGCATGTGCAGAACGCCAAGTCCGATTCCAGTCAGACTAAGTGGATACATGCAGCAATAGTTTGATTTTCAATCAAATTATCTAGGTGTGCTTGTCGAACATCGGATACTCCAATTTCAGTCGGACTAAGCTGTTTACACGCATTTAAAAGTCCGGTTTCAATTGCACTAAGCCAATCTCAAGCTACATGTAAACATACTGATTGATAGGTGAAATCTGACATAAAAGGCTGTTCTACCGATATTATTATGCTCTAATATATTTTCCAGACAGATTTTTTGGGCCAAAAATGGCTGTTATGATAGTAAAAGTTGCCGACCCCTAGTTTAGGTGATAATATACTATATATTCTACTTAAAAACACACATTATGAGTGCTTATACTGAAATTTACAATACACAAGCTGGTCCAGTGCCTCGTCAACATGCTACAATAAGAGGGGCCCCAGAAAGTCTAGGGACGGCCCTGCACAGTTTTTTGCTGCACCCCTAAAATATATATGGACTAATTTCAGGATTTAAATAATTGTTGGGGAAAATAGATTTGTCAACACTAAATGTCAACACTAACTGTCAGCACTTTTCATGATTAACTGTCATTTATCAAAGAAAAATGCTGTATATTCACTACTTCATGCTTCTCAGATGTGAGGATCTGCTGCTTTTCTATGTTTTAAATCTAATATATCTGGGTTTTGGACTAGTTTGGACTAGTATATGATGAGGTATATTTCATGCCAAACACTGTATTTACCTGTGACCCACAAGAAAAGCTAAACTATTGACTGTTACTTACCCTCTGACAAAAAGCCTAATCAATACCTGAGTTATCACGTCTACCAGTAACACTGACATGTTTCCTCACACACACACACACACACACACACACACACACACACACACACACACACATTAGCCTCTTGGTGCTCCACCATCAGACTGCAGCTTGATAAGGATGTTTATATTAGCCGTTGGTAATGCTAAAGTGCTAACAATGGGTTAGCTTGTTGTTTACCCGCTGCACTATAAGATAAAATGCTAATACTATGAAACAAACACGTAATAAACAAGCTAGCTCGATCAATTAGCTAAAGAATTAGCCACAGCTGCTAACTGCCATTCATATGTTGTATTAAAACACTGGTCCATCTCTGTTTTCCCAGCCACTTCCCCTACAGTGAAGTTTAACGATGAGCACATGACAACACAAAATTAAATGTAACGTCACTCACTTTGCCGATAATGTGTTGAGGGAGCCAGTCGTTAGCATAAGTCCCGCGAGGAACAGCTGGTATTTGGTCCACGCCATGCTGGACGTGGGGACGGGACAAACAAACCGGGGACAGACCACCACCGAGGTGTTTTCAGTGTGAAGAGACCCAGGTTGTTGTTCACCCACTTCTCCGTGGGATCTCCTCTGCCTGTAAACGCCACATGACAGCTCAGAGTCAGCTGACCGCTGCGCAACCTGCACGCTGCCTTCACGGCCTGTCGGAAATGACGGAATGAAGCGGGCTAAATGAAGTCATGGGTGATGACTGAGGGGAAAACCAAAGTGATGACTGAGGATTTATTTACAACAAAGAAGATGAATAAGTAATGGATGAGTGAGTGAAATTAATGACTAAACGAGTAATTTCATATTTTATACTTAATCTATCTTTTATCACCAAATTTTACTTATTTTACTTTATCTTTATTCATTTATTTATTTTTTTTTTTTTTACCAATTCTTGCAAACGTGTAAAATCAG